GACTATTTATAGTGAAAAAATAAAAATAAAAACCATGTTGAAAGCCCTCAGAATCCAGAGAAGCCAGTTCCTCCCACTAAGGCTAGCCTATCCCTATCGCCCTAAACTGACCCTGTTCTCAAGTCCCTTGGGTGTGAAAATAACTGAGCCGTTATCTCTGAAGCCTGCAGACAACCCGGCTTCTTTTTAGCACCAGAGCTGCACAGAGGTGCGGTGCTGATGGGTGGTAAAAAGGGGACTGATGATCATAGCCCAACTGTAGTTTCGGGACATTTTCTTTTCACTTAGGACAATTAGTAAAATAAAGTTTTCAAGTTGTGAGGAAGAATATTTCTAGAGAATTCTTAGTTTCTCAATAAATACACTGATCAAATTTAAGCTCTATATAATATCCATAGTTCATGAAGTGTTACAAAGTTTAGGTATGAAAGAAAATATATTTTAAGATTACTGTTATAATACTATGTTGGATGAAACAGGAGAATATATAAACAAAAAGTTAAAATGAACACCCAAATAAATTCTGTGCGATATGCTCCCTGAAAATTTTTCCATTACTTGAGTTACACATACATAGAATATATTTCCATTCTTCTCCAAAAACTACCATCTGTATCTCTATTACACAATTCAAAAATTATGACGGTTGAATACTTCACGTGTCATATAACACATAGAACTATTCTAAGATTTATTTTTGAGCTATTAAAGTTTAAGTAGACTACCTTGCTTCTTTATTAAGTTAGAATTACTTATAAATGACAAAAGGAGACAGGAAATACACAAAAACAAGTTGTTGTTTTGTTGTTGTTGTTGTTGTTGTTTTTACAGTGGGAGGGATTGAAGAAGAGTGGTAATTAACCCTAAATTCTGTTCTCCATTTATATAAAAGCATCTTCATTTCATAGTCTGTTCTTTTTCCTTTAAAAACTATTTCATGAAAACAGCTTGGAGTTTAGAAGATAGAAGTGAACATTAGTCACTCCATAACACAAATATTCTGAAAGCAGAAATGAGTCTGTGTCCTCTTCTGCATCTCTTCCAATAGGATATTCCTCTAGTGACTAAAACATTACCTTAAAGAGAGGTGGTGGCACATGGTACACATCTTCACCTTTACTTCCTACAACACAATGCTTTCTAGAAGGTCTTTTCTAATAGCTCCTAGAGATGGTAGATTTGTTATCAAATCAAAACCTCTTTTGAGTTTAGCTGATCAAACATTGCCTCTGAAACTTTGTCCCAACATGACTGGTGCCCTGTATGGATCTGATCCCTCTCTGGATCAAGAGGACTTCCCTCAGCCTCTTCTCATCCTTTAGTTCTTTGAAGGCAAGGCAAAGATAGGGACATTTCTGATTTGTTAACAAAATTTCCATTGTACCATGTCTGAGAGCATAATGGCAAAAATATAGGAATGCTCAAATCTCTAAAAATAAAGCATTGTAAATGTCCTGTTTTCCTACCGAGTTAAGACCTTTATTTCTTTTGGAGAAACTTACTTTGATTTTCCAAATGTTTAGAGTTGCTTGATAATTTAAGGTAAAAATCACACATCTATGTATGCCTGAAGTGGATAAGCACTTCAACTGCTAGCTCTATTCCATGACATGTTCCAAACCTGACAAGCAATAATTTGAAAGATGACCAACTTTTCTGTTCCCTCACTATTAACATCACCTCCGAACTATGATCTAGTTAATAACCGAAGTGTTAGTTATTCCTCAATCTAATCTAATGATAAAAATGATTTTTATTTTCTAAGTAAGTTCTATACCCAACATGGGGCTTGAACTCACAACCCTGAGACCAAGAGGCACATGTTCTACTGATTGAGCCAATGAGGCACCCCTAAAAAGTTGTTCTTAAAACGAATGCATTATATTATTAAAATACATGCCCATCTTTGTATAAGCCTCAGTGTAATTATAGTTTTGTATAATTAGAGCTTTATGTCAAAAGATTTACAGCTTTATCACCTCAAGCAATATTTCACAGCTGCCAAGAATGATTTATGCAATAATGACTTAAACTGTAAAATAGAATCCTCAAAGGAAGGGCTGTCAAATATTCCTACTGCAAATAACTAGGTTTTAAAAAATTGATATTCTGGTAAATAGCAAGCTCAACTATACCTGGTAAAAATCACATAAAGTAGCATGATAGGAAGTATTGCTTCATAAGAATGATCATGCAGCTCATCGTGCACTGCATCGATGTGAACTCATAATGTAGATCATGGGTTTAAAGTGCTTATGAAGCTTCTGGTGAATCTGAAAATCAAGCTTTCAGAAATAATAACATGCTCATATTTTTGCTACTCCAGTATGAGTGAATGGGAAAAGTGGAAACAATATCTCAACTTCTTGTTAATTTGCTCATTGTGCTTATTACATTCCTATCTGTATTCCCATAAAGGGCTAAATAGAGAATAAGTAAAGGAAGCATTTACTATACATAGTTAAGAAACCAAGAACCTCCCAAAAGTAAATGACCTCAATAATAAAGAATTAAGGAAACTTTGAGGAACAAACCAATACAAATGTTGGTGATTTTATCCCTTCCTGCTTTTATAAATATAGAGTGGCTGGCAGGTCTCTATGAGGCAAGGCTTTCAAAGCATTTGAACTTCACAAGCTCTGACTGAGTTTGCAGTTGCCATGTGAATAAAACCAATGCACTTCGAAGATTCTATTCAAGGTATCTGAACTAGTCTCTAAAACACAAGTTGATTACACTCAGCAAATAAGTCTGACTGTGTCTTCACAATCTAAAAAGGTCATAAAATTAAACTTTTTCTTTGGAGAAAGAAAAAAAAAAGCTTGGCCCATCATCTTATGTATTCCCATATTAATAAAAGTGAAATAGGCAGCATTTGTCATTAGCTCTAAAGATTACTAAGTCCTTGTAGAGTGACTCAAATCTGAAAATAAAGCCAACACAAGCAACGTCATCACCAAAGATTGATATTTATATACCTGAATAAGCTTTCAAATAAATTCCTGTCTAAAACAAGAAGGTTTTAATTCATACAATCAATTGCATCCTTCAGGTAGAAAGATTTGCATTAGTCAATGTACCAGCATCTTCACTGTAGAAACCTTTACATTCATGTTTGAGATTCCACATTAACTTGCCTTTTCTTTAGGTGTTTTGAGATAACTTTACACTGACATTATACAAGCCACACAGGCTTTGAAATATCACCATTCCACTTGCAGTATAATAAATAATGACTTTCATTTCAAAATATTGTCTGAAAACTATGGTGAGTATCTAAGTGATCCTAACAGTCCAGATTCATTTTTATACTTAAATTCTATAAGTTGAAAAAAACCTCTGAAATGTCCCAAAAAACATAACACCAAATGTGGACCAACATGCCCTGTATAACCACAGTGCAAACTGTGTCAACATCATGATAAATATTCAGAAGGGGGAAAAAAATGTCAGACATTCAAATTATTCCAAAAGTCCAAATTATTGGCATCAGAGACACACAAAAAGGATGAGTTGCATTTGGGTAGTGAGAGCCTTAGTCCAAGAAATGCTTTCAAGACAACAGAGCAATTAGGCTATTTCTAGCAAGCCAACACTACTGATTGAAAAGTGGTGGTGGTGGGGAGAATGAGAACTTTAAAAACAATCTCTATGTTGGTTGATAATCATATAATTGTTTTCACCCCAGATTAATCCAAAATTATACAAACCTGTTTATCTAATCATAATTTGTCACATATATTCACTCAAGTCAATATTAAGGAAAATCCAGTAATTAAAAATTACATTTTCTATCATAAAATATTTAATTGTAAGAAAATAAGAGGAAATGTTAAACCTTTTCCATGCTAGACTTTCTGCTGTGATTTTATCAAATGATGAATCATTATATGATATAAGCTATAACAAATCACTCATTTTCTCATTTGCAAGACTTAAGAGTTTCCTAAAAAAACTGACTAGATATCCCTCTGCCTCATGGATTTCTGTCAATGGAAAAAAATGATAATGCAATATCAACAAAACTACCTACAATATGCATTTTTAACTGATTTGTCTTTAAGCACTAAATTATTAAATACCATTAAGTGCCCATATTTGAGAATATGTGTTCTTTTAAATGGGGGTATGTGAATATTCATACATCTGAGTTCATATACTATATATGGTATATTTAATGAATGCATGTCTAGTAAATGAGCATTTTTTTGAGAATTATTATAGGTGTAACATATTATGTTCCCATAGCAAACTTGAAAGAAGGAGGAGTGCCCTTGAAGTTGAGGTATGACCTTAAGTTTGAGATGTCAGTTTTGTTGCAGCTGAAAAATGAGTACAAATAACTCCACAGTATCATAGCTCCTTTTATCCATTTCTTATTTTAGGACAAATCTTGAATACATGAGCAGCTTTTATTATTTAATTTATACAGGTTTACTAGACCGATTTTTGAAGTTCTTGTATATCACCCTTCATGTATAAAAAGGAGCAAAAGAAACAAGAGGTGTCGGCTATCAAATAAAGCTGAAGAACCAAGAAATATTGATAACTGCAATAGTTTTAGTTGCAGATATACAGTTTTCAACAAGCTATTGCTTTGTGAAATATTTATACAGTTCAAGCAACTAATCTCTGTATTTCTCTCCTACCAAATACATATCAATGCAATCAGTAAATTATTGGCCTTTATGTTATTCCCTAGAAAGGGGACAGTGTAAGAGTGATTTGTGGCACTTTGTCTTCAGTGATAGTAAGTTACTACACTATTGAAGAGTACAGAGTACCCTTATTCGAAGAAGAAATTGTTCCTACTAGTGCACTAATGACAATATCTATATTTCTTGAATCCTAAAATATATAAGATATATATAAATATATAAGCACAAAATATCTACACTGAATTTTTGGAGCTTCTCTGTGTATGAACTTTCAGTAATCAGTTGTCAAGATTTCATTTCAATGGAAACAAATAAAAATAATTCTAAATAGATGAACTTTACCATTTTTGTGATAGTAGGTGACCTCCACTTTCCTCTCCTCTGACCCCAGCAATGCTTGGGCAATTTGGGCAATATCATGCCTCTTGGTCTCAGGCCCATGGAGAAAGTCACAGGTGCACGGCTTTTGCATGACATCTGGCCTGGAGAAACCAGTCATCTCGCAGAAACCATCGTTGCAGTAGATGATGGCACAGTTTTGCACTCTGGCATTTGCAATGATAAATTTTTTATCTGTAATAAGAAGATAGTAAGGCATCTTTTTAAAAGCTTCCACAAGATTTTCATAAACACTGGAGCAAATTGTTGCATAATAGGAGATCTGAAACGCAGGTGCTTCCCAAACTGCTAACTAACTGCCCAGGATTTTAAAAGAAAAAAAAAAAAAAAACCCTAAATGTGAAATTAACGGTCCTAGTATTTTTAACAAAAAGTATTTAGGAACTAGTCTTCAAATTTTGAGAATGTAATTTCCCAAATAGTCTACTTCTCAAACCTTGTGACTGACTCCCAGGGGTCCTAAGGCATACTCAAACAAGCAGCTGGCCCACTGATATTTCTAGAATGCCATTTAATTGTAAGATAAATATTTTCAAAGGCAAACAATGAAACATCCTGTAGCCGACAGATTTCTCACCTCAACCTTGTCCCTTCAAAGTACAACTTTCTCAAAGTAGCTATTATTTTTGGATTTGGTTTTTCTCTAGCCCTCTGAGGCATAGTACACACTCATCATGTTAAATAACAAAACAAAACAAAACGTGAAACTATTAGCCATAAAACTATCTTACGTTAATTGGCAGTTCAATAATTCAAAGATTCACCTTTTGTAATATATATTTTCCACAAGATGGAAATGTTTACACATACACAGTAAATATCATGTTAACACCTCTTCACTTTTACTTTGGGAGAACCTCGAGTTCTTGTGTAGTATTAGGGATTTTAATGCAAAAGGCTCATTAAATTTTGATCATAAGTTACATTTACTATTTCCAGATAGACTGTGAGCAGGATACACTAGTTTATTTTGTACACAAGGTACTGTATCCTCATGTCACTCAATGCAGTGCCAAAATAACTGCAAAATGCACAACATCACCAACCGTGTGTCAGTGTGGAGTTCAGGAAATGTTGAACGTAAATTAACAAGGATTTAAAATGAATACATTGGATACAACAATCACTTATCTCTTATAGTTAGTCCATATGACACATGAGAATGTAAAATTTGTCTGCACTCAGTTTTGGGATTCACCTTACTGCCTTTCAATCTTCAAATTTCTTGATGGAAATTTAAGGAAATAATGAAGAGACAGAAACATTGTTTTGAATAATGAACCGTCTGCATTGGGAAGTAGTACGGATCGGGTATTGTTGTTTTTTGTTTTTTTGTTTTTTGTTTTCCAAATTATCCTTCTTGGGATGTCTTTGCATTGGTTCAAGGCAAAGTTTAGCTTCTAGAGACTGACAGCGAGCAAGCATCCCTGGCATCGCACAGCCTTGCAATCCCGCCCAGGTAAAACGGAGTTTGCACAGCCGTTCACATCGCCGCTACCGTTTACGCTGCCCTGCTCCGGGGGCTCGCTCTGCCCTGCTCCCGACTTTGCAAAAGTCTCCGATTAAACAGCCTCGAAAATGCAAACCCCCGATCTCCCGGTACGTTCCCTTTAAGATAGTGGGAGAGCAGGACCTGAAGTGGCAAGGCGGATGACGGAGCCGCGGGAGAGCCGGACCCAGCCGCCTCGCTGATGGAGACCCCCCTGCGCAAGGCAAAGCGGGGTCCGCGCCCGGGGGGGGGCAGGGTCCGCGCGCGAGGCCCCGGCCCGGCTCGCAGCGCGTCCCCGGGGGGCCCGGACCTGCGGCTCCGCGGCCGGACGCGACGACCGCCCAGCGCGCCGTCCGAGCGGAGAGCCGGGGAGGGAGAGACGGCGAACGAACTTACTTTGCCCTTCAAATTTCCGTATGATGGTCCCCAGAAATGTGTTTTGCGGTGCCACATGCCCCCTGCGCACAGGCATGTTGGCCCGGTCCTCCGAGGAGCGCGCCCGATCGGACTTCCCCGGGTCTCCTCGCCTAGAGCGCAGGCCGGCGCGCGCGCCGCTCTTTGTGGCTGAGCATCCTCCCTGGAAGCCCCGAGGCTCTGCCCATTAGCCCCACTCCTAGACGCCCGCCGTCCCCAGCCGAGCCCGATCCAGCCCCTCCGCCTCGCGGGGGGGGGGGGGGCGCCGGACCGCCGCGGGGGCTGAGAGGGCCTGGGGGTGGGGAGAGGGGAGGAGGCGGGGGGAGGGGGCGGCGGGGGAGGGAGGAAGGGAGGGAGGGAGGAGGGAGCGGCGGGGGTGGGGTGGGGTGGGAGGGGGCGGGGAGTCACAAGGGCAATCGATCCGCTTCTCCGCTCCCAAACAGCGCCAATCTCCCAGTGCAAATGGGCTTAACCTGGCGGTTGCCCAGAGCTGGGAGGACGGCCTGGGGGGGGGGGGGGGCGGGGGGCGGGGGGGGATGGAAGACTCGTGCGGCTTTTGCAGGAAGGCGAGAAAGAAAAGGAGGCTGGGGGGTTGGGGGGAGTTGACGTTTCTATCCCCGCCCTCTCCCCTACACTCTCTCTCTGTGTCTCTCTCTCTCTCTCTCTCTCTCTCTCTCTCTCTCTCGCAACACGGGCGCGCGCGCGCACACACTCACTCACACTCACACACTCACACACTCACACACACACACACACGCACACCCTTTATCCCGAGAGCTTGGGCGCCGCCACAGCTCGGATTACTCAAGCGTGCTTTAGCGGAAGCCAGCCAAGAAATCTCCAAAACTCAGTGACAAACAGCTACTCTGGGAAGGTGATCTCCACGGCCCCCGGCCACAGGGCTCCATCCCTGAGCTCCTCACGCCGCAGTCGCTAAAACAGCCTTAGCTGCAAAGAAAAGACAGGTGGGAAAACAGTCCTCCAGGGAGGACTTGGAAGCGCCGGTGGCGTTCGGGACTTTGAAGACCGAGGATGAGCCACTTGAGGGTGCAAGGCTTAGCCCGAGGGTGCAGCTCGGATCCTCCGGATCCTCCGGGATCCTCCAGGATCCCCCGGGATCCGCGGGGGTGGGCGCCGCAGCCGCAGCCGCAGCCCCAGCTGATTGGCACTCCTGTCCCTGCCCGGAGCTGAGCGGAGTCTCCCCGAGCCTAAAGGCAGCTGGCGCCCCGCTGAGCATGCCCGGCTGCACTGCGTGAGCCCCTGAGGAGTTGCAGCGTTGGGGGCTGATTGGGTCTCTAGGTGCTGGAAGCTGTGAGAAAGATGGGGAGGCCAAAGGCTGTGCGAGCAACCGGTACAAAACAAGGAAAGTGTTTGAAATGGGCGAGGCTGGGCGCCAGGGGGAAGGAACAAAAGGTGGGTGGGGCTAAGAGTTACCAGCCTCGGTGTGACCTCCAATGCCACTTGCCTCTTGAACTCCTAGGCACACCATTGCACCTACTTTCTTCCACTATTTCTAAGAAATTCTCTCGCTTAGGCTGGGAAAGTGTTCAAGGAGCAGAATAGAGTCCTCTGGTTCTTGCTTCTCAGAGCCTGCCAAGGAATCTCATGGATATATACACACTTGTGTCCAAATAGTCCTCCCGGAGACTTAGGAAATCAAATGTGACAAGACATCCCAGGAGAGGATGTTATCTAAGTTGTTTTTCTAGATTTTCTTGCTTCTTTCCCCCTCGTTTATGTTATTTCCTATAACCTAATAGTCTCTCTCCAAGCCCCTTTCTCTAAATGGGAGTTTGCCGTCGCTACAACCTGCAGAACGACTAGAACACGGACAAACCTCTTGTCTCCAGCAGTTGATAAAAGTCCTACGTCCTCTATAAAAACCTGTAGCTGCATGATAGTGTCCGGGGTTCTTGCAACTCATTAGCCTGCTTTGCCTGTGCCTTGAATCAGTCAGGTTCATATTTTCTCAGTTATAAACTCAAATCTGAAGTTAAAAAAAAATGAGGATGGAACCAAAAAAGGGCTAAGAGACAGGTTTAGATTAAGGAAGGTGAATCATGTGGATCGCAATAAATACGAGGAAATGAACATAATGACTTTATAACTTTACGTTGCAGAAAACACAGCCAAGAGAAAGAATCCCCCACCACCACCAAACTAAAAAAAAAAAAAAAAAAGGCAAAAATAACCCGTAACAACCTAAGCAATTCTTACCCTTTCATGTCAGAGTAAGAAAATGAATTAGAAATGTGAGACATTGCCTGGGAATGTTGAATTTTCAGGTTAATTAGCTTTACTTTAAAAAAAGAAGAAGAAGAAGCAATCTATGACAACCCCTAGGCTCTTATCGTAGCTTGAGCTTTCTTGAATCTGTACAGTTCCCTCTCACGGAACATAAAAAGGCAGGTTCCTCCAATGTACACTTTTATTTTCTTCCCTTTTGCAGCATAAGTAGATCACTCTATCATTCTGCTTCCTAGCTGCAGGGGGCTTGGGAAACGCTGGAGTTCCTCTCCCAGGTGTTAAATGTGGGGAGCTATCCGTGGTGCTGACTCCGACTGTCGTTACGAACTGCTTTCTGCCTACGTTCAGCCACAGACAATAGAATAGCAAACCCAGGCAAGTGGCTCTGATATATCCACATACACTACTGTCTTTCCTGGATACCCACAAAAATAGTGCTACCTGCACCCCATTTCTAAAACACTTTTTCCGACTTCGCTGGTTAGCAAATCCAAGCTCAAATGCCTTCTTCCCAAAATACATCAAGAACTCCAGAGGAAACAGGGTGCCTGGGTGGCTCAGTGAGTTCAGTGTCTAACTCTTGATGTCTGCTCAGATGAGCTCGCGGTTGTCAGTTCAAGCTCCATGCTGGAGCTTATTTAAAAAAAAAAAGAGAGAAAAAAAAAACAACCTCCAGAGAAAACTGAACAAACTTCATATTGTGCAGATTGTAATTAAGGTCTCAGGTACACTATAAAAGCATAATCAAATACCAGTAGGTTATGGCAAGGTCATATGGCAAATTATTTCTTTTTTAAATCACAAGTAAGTTCAGTGAGTGAATATTGCTTTAAATGGAAATAAGCATTTCCAAATGCAGTTTGAAACAGATTTATCTGCCATATGACAAGACGTATTGACATACAAAAGGTAACAGTGCAAACTGTTTCTAGTAGGAGTTTGATACTTTCACAGTTTATTGAGTCTCAAAACCCTTGAATTCCTCCTTAAGGGTGGAAAAGTGGCTGCTTCAAGAGAAAAAAATGTTTTTTTTTGTTTTATTTTGTTTTTTGCTCCCCGATATACCATTTATTTCTCCACAACCTTCAGAGCGGTCTCTCTTTGTTTGTTCTGAGTAATTAAACACATGATAGTTGAAGTTCCATTGTCTGTGTTCATATTAGCAATCTCTGTGGGCTTCACATTTTTCCCGACCTCATTTAGTTCTAAGATTAGTTCTATTAAGGATTCAGTGTAAGATCATAGGACATTCTATAACCTATGTATTGTAATTGATTGATCTGAGCAGAAGATTAAAGGCATCCTGTTTCTAAATTACCCCAGTAATCGTGTTCATGCATTATACATTGGTACAGTGGAGACAAGTACATCAATCTATATTCAGCCAATAATAGAATCAAACCAAAGGATGGTAATCATTGCTGCTTGCTGGCTGGAAAATTACCCCTCCCCTCATCCCACCATCTACAAAAGCACACTGTGTATATTGTGTTGAGGCCAGATTTGATAAGTTTTCAGTATTGGACTTTTTTTGGAAGTCCAAATATTGAACAGAGCACATTAATTCAGCATCAAAATCCTATCATGTATACAGCTTAACACTCACCACAATCTACTTATGGGTGAAGACACAAACTAGATTTTAATATATTCTTAAAACTACTTAACTGGTCTTTTTACTGTAAAATTCAGTAGGTTAATATTTATGGTGTTGGAAACTTTTTAACAATGTTTACCACATAGTAACATAAAATTCTGTATACAGGTCTCCAGAATTAATGGAGCCCTGCTTGAAAACCCTGCACTTGAAATTATTTGAGTATCATACATTAATGCTTGAAACTTTGAGGAAATAGTAGCAACCATTATGGGTGATTTAAATTGATACTCATATTGAGAAAGAATAAACATGTTTAAGATCAAGTAAGCAATGTAATTTGTTTCATATTTTTGAATAATGTAGAATATAAATCAATGAAATTAAAGTCTTCTTAATTTGGCAAAATAAGTTTAAAAATCTCATGAGCATGATGAAGCATAAGAGGTTATTTCAATGTGGCCTTCTATGGGGGTCCTGGGTATTATCTAGTAACTGGGTCACATTTAACCTAAGAAACTTCTGACTCTACAGTTACAACTTAGGCAAATTTTGGCTTGTATTATTATACATACCTCTAAAATATCATAAGAGGCAGAAATTTTGAGGTTATCCATTAAAGCAATATTTCTGTGCAGCATGGGGTAGTCTAAAGGGCAGAAAAAAACTAGGTGGTAACTCAAAATTGCCATTATAGCAGAAACCAATGAAAATAGATAAGGTCTCTTATGCACAGCTCCTTTCTAAAATCAGTATAACAATCCTTAATTTTCATTTTTTGGGGTACGGAATAACTAGGAAAGTGGATATAAAGTGATTAGTGAAAACTCTAGCAGATAGTGAACTTTTAAATAACCACTGTCCTATAATCTAAGCAGTATGATTTTAATTAGTAAATTAATAATATTAATATTAACATATAGGATTTAACTACTGTAGATTTAAGTACTGCCAGTGGTATGTTGATTGGGCTATGAAAATTAAGGGAGTGTATGGAGTGGGTAAAGCATACTTATATTCATAGTCTGAGTCATCTGGACTAATACCACTAACTGTTTCTAATATATTAACGTAAGCATACATAGTTAGAAAATTGAACATTCCTTCAGAAAATTTAGATCCTTTCCTGATAACATAATTTACATGTTAATTTTAATCCAAATGGTTATTACTTTACCTGGAATACTCTTGCAATAATATACTTCACATTATAG